CTAAACTACCTGGCTGTGTGCCTTTATAAGACCTGCAAATCCTTAGCTCAGGGCTCTCCTCCTAGGCTCCACTGTGTCAGAGTGTAGGACGGGGCCTGAGCTGCAGCCTGTCTAAATAAAACCATAAAACACCTGTAGAGTCTGACTCTCGGTGGTCTTCTTGGTGGGGGTCCTGCGACCTTGGCATAACACTAAGGAGGCTGAGTTCTGAGGTTTGCAGTTCAAAGCTAGCTAGGGCAGGAAAGTCTGTGAGCATTTTTTTCTTTGTCGGTCGTGGGGCTTGAACTCTGGGCTTGGGTGCTGTCCCTCAGCTCTTCAGCTCAAGGTGAGCACTCTACCACTTAGACACAGTGCCACTTCTGGTTTTCTAGTGTTTTATTGGAGATAAGAGTTTCATGGACTTTCCTGCCTGGGCTGGATCCTTAGATCTCAGGCTTCCCAGTAGCTAGGATTACAGGCGTGAGCCACCGGTGCCTGGCTCTGTGAGACTTTTACAATGATCTGCATTTCTTCCCCCAAGCAGAAGTGAAACTCTGGCTCAAAGGGGCAGATGTTAGACTTAAGCAAAAAAGCTCAGGGACAGCGCTAAGACCCAGAATGCAAGTCACAGGACTCACCAAAAAAAAAAAAGAGAAATTGCTAATGAAGCTAGGCACCAGTGGCTAGACATCTGTAATCATAGCTACCCAGAAGACTTTCTGAGGATTGGAATTCCATGCCATCTCAGGCAAGAATATCCTTGAGACTCTTATCTCCAATTAGCCTTCTATTAGGATAGACTGAGCTCCAGACTTGGAGATGTGTCAAGTGGGTGGCAGACTTCTAGTCAAGACTGGAAAAAGCTAAGGGACAGAGCCAGGGCACTGGGGGAAAAGGAAGAAAAGAAAAAAAAAGGAGAGAGAAAGAAAGATAGAAAGAAAGAAAGACAGAAAGAAAGAAAGACAGAAAGAAAGAAAGAAAGAAAGATAGAAAGGAAAGAAAGCAAAAAGAAGGAAAGAGAAAGAAGAGCGCAGTTGAGCACTGGTGGCTCACTTCTGTAATCATAGCTACTCAGGAGGCTGAGATCTAAGGATCATGGTTCAGAGCCAGGAGGAAAGTCCCTGAGACTCTTACCTCTGATTAACCACCAAAAAACCAGAAGTGGCACTGTGTCTCAAAGTGGTAGAGTGCTAACTTGGAGCTGAAGAGCTCAGGAACAGCGCCCAGGCCCAGAGTTTAAGCCCCACGACCAACAAAAAAAGAAGAAAGAAAGGAAAGAAGAGAAGGGAAGGAAGGAAGGAAGGAAGGAAGGAAGGAAGGAAGGAAGGAAGGAAGGAAGGAAGGAAGGAAGGAAGGAAGAAGGAAGGAAGGAAGGAAGGAAGGAAGGAAGGAAGGAAGGAAGGAAGGAAAAGAACGCTCTCAAGTCTCTCTTAGAAATCCAGATCTGATGCAGTGGAGAACCCGTGGCTCATTTCCTGCTGTGACATGACTACAGGAAGCCGCTGGCACCTGTGCATTGAGCACTGACCATGGAGCCCACTAACTCACTTGGGGCCAGACTGCTTCACCACAGGGGCTGTGAGGGGCCTTCCACACCTTGCTGCAGCCCTGAGTGCCAGCTCAGCACACTACACATGGTGAAGCTGACATCCACCTCTGAATCACTGGAGTGATTCCTCAACCTCCCCAGACCCATCATCATTCACAATGCAGCATCTTCCTTTTCCACACCTGGTTGAATACAAGAGGGGCTGGAAGCCCCCAGGTGGCAGGCAGCATGGGGAGGTGGGGACACAGCTGTGGGAGTTAATGGGAAATAAGGGTCTCATGGACTTTTATGCTCAGGCTGGCTTTGAACATTTATTCTCTGAACTCAGCCTCAGGAGTAGTTAGGGTTACAGGATTACATGCATGAGCCACAGGGGACTGGATTTTTTTCTCTGTTTTTGTCAGATGTGGGGCTTGAACTCAGGGCTTAGGTGCTCTCCTTGAGCTGTTATCTTTTATTTTTTTATTGTGATTAAGTGATTACATAATTTCACAAATTTCATAGTATTGTGAGATAGTGATACTTCGTTAAAGTCACAAACACATCCTAACCTTCATGAGGCAAATTGTCATTATCGTGGTCTAGAAAGTTTGTGAATTCTATGAGCTCTGACAATAGTTATTTCTTCCACATCGGGTGGTATGTACATTTCTTTCCTTTTGCTTAGTGTCAGCTGTTCCCTCTTTCCCTCTCATTCCCTCCCTCCCATCCCTGCTTTGAGTTGCCTACTTCGTTTTGATCAATGACCAGTGCAGCTGTTGTATGTTTTCCTGTTTCCCCGTTTCTGTGTCTTCCTCCTAGTTTCCCTCCTATGTGTGCACATATACCATATATGTGGTCAGCAGCATGGGGTCTTTTAGTAATGATTCAATCAGATGAGTGGAAGTCCTCTGTTTCTCTAGTCCTGTTTACTTTGTCGGATCGCCTTACATTTTGGACTTAACATCCACAGATCAGGGAGACCATGTGCCATTTGTCTCTTTGTTCTTGGCTTACCTCATTCAGTATGATTTCTTCTAGTTCCATTCATTTCCCTGTGAATGCCATTATTTTGTCCTTTCTAATGGCTGTATAATATTCCATTGTATCTAGGCACCATGGTTTTTGGATCCATTCATCTGTAGTGGGGCATTGGGTTGTTTCCATATATTGACTATTGGAAACAGTGCTGCAATGAACATGGAGGTGCATGTGTCCTTGTATCCTGATTCCTGTTGTTCAGGATAGATGCCTAGGAGTGGTATGGCTGGGTCATAGGGGAGGTCTGTATTTAGCTTTCTGAGGTACCTCCACACTGCTTTCCAAAGTAGTATATTAGTGTACATTCCCACCAGCAGTGCAATAGGGTTCCTCTTTCTCTACATCCCCTCCAGCATTTGACTTTAGGATGTGGGCCATTCTGACTGGGGTAAGGTGGTATCTCAGGGTTGTTTTGATTTGCGTTTTCTTTACAGCCAGGGATGATGAACATCCCCTCATGTGTTTCTTTGCCATTTTTATCTCTTCTGAGAAGTCTCTCTTTAGTTCCATTGCCTGTTTAGTAATTTGTTTGTTAGGTTTGGGAGGGATTAGTTTCTTGAGTTCCCTGTATATACTTGATATTAGACTCTTGTCTGATAATATTGCTGGTAAATACTTTTTTTTTTTTTTACAATTAGTTGGCTTTCTTTCTAGTTTGGTTGCTATGTCTTAAGCTGTGCAGAAACTTTTTATTTTAAGATAGTATCATTTATCGAGTCTCTCTCCAACTTGTTGTGACCCTGGGACTCTGTTCAGGAAGTTCCTGCTGTGCCTAATAAGTTCAAGTGTCTCTCCCATTCTGCCCTGCAGTATGTCAAAGGTTGAGGTTTAATGTTAAGGTCTTTAATCCACTTTGTGTTGAAGTTAGTACATGGTGACAGGCTGGGGTCCACTTTTTGTTTTCTGCATGTGGCTGCGCAGTTTTCCCAGCACCAGTAGTTGAAGAGGCTGTGCTTCTTCCACTGTATGTCTTTGGCTCCTTAGTCAAATATCAGCTGACTTATAGGCTTGTGGATTTATTTCTGGATCTTCTAATCTATTCCATTGGTCTTCAGGTCTGTTTTTATGTCAGTACCAAGCTGTCTTTGTTATTATGGCTCTATAGTTGAGTTTGAAGTCTGGCATCGAGATTCCCTTCCTTGTTGTCTTTTTTTGCCTAGAATTGTTTTGGCCCTTGAGCTATTTTGCTCAAGAATAGTGGTCTAACATTTGGAGGTTTAGCTCTGTAGTAGGGAGGTGCAGTGAGACCACTCAGTCCACAGTGAACCTAAAAGATTTTATTGAGCAAAAAGTGCTGACACGCCAGGACCGCACCTGAAGTCCGGAAACCCAGGGAATACCCCGAGTGCCATCCCACACTGGCCTTGAAGTATTTTTGGCTAGGGCAGGGAAAGGGGGAGTTTGGGTGTTGGGTTTAGCCAATGATTGTTACAAGAAATTCACACCTGGGGCTGGGAAGATGGCTCAGTGGTAGAGCGTTTGCCTTGCATGCCTGAGGCCCTGGGTTCGATTCCTCAGCACCACATAAGCAAAAAGAAAAAAGCCAGAAGTGGCGCTGTGGCTCAAGTGGTAGAGCGCTAGCCTTGAGCTGAAGAACTGAGGGACAGCACCCAGACCCAGAGTTCAGGCCCCATGACCAGACCCAAAAAAAAATAAAATAGCTAGTTACTTAACCAGGGAAGTCTTATCCACAGAAAGCACAGTAATATTTATAGCTTAAAATCATTCATTATCCATTTTATACAACCCAAGTCAAATTATAATAGTCCATGGTACTTCCTCCACCATATCAGCTCCTCTACAGGTTTTTTAGTGGTTAATTGGAGATAAGAGTCTCACTGGGACTCTTCTACCCAGGTTGGCTTTGAACTGGGATCCTCAGATGTTAGCCTCCTGAGTGGCTAGGATTACAGAGGTGAGCCACTGATGACTGGCTCTTGTTTTGTTCTTTGAGAAGCGATCCACATTATCTAGGAAGGCCTGGCTAGATAACTACTGGCTCCGGTGAGCCTCCTGTCTCAACCTCCCAAACCTCCAAAGTGCTGAGCCTCCAAGACTACGATTCTCAGACTTCCTTCCTTCCTTCCTGTCATCCTTCCTTACTTCTTTCATTCCATTCTTGCTCCATCCCTCCTTCCCTCCCTCCTTCCTCATTAACTTCCTCCCTGATTTCTTGTTTCTATTCTCTCTCTCACCAGAACATCAGTGGTATCTTGTAGGTGTGGTATGTCTGCATATTGAACTGCAGAGAACCTGTCTGGTGAGTGGGGTCTAGGGAATACCAGCATTCCAGGACACCTGCCCTTGGGGTCAGACCCCTGGAGAGGGTGGCTGTGACTGCAGTCAGGCTCTTCACCACACAGCATCCTGGCTGTGGTCACAGCAGCCTGGATCCTGTTCCACATGGTCCTCTCCTCTGAGGCTGATCCACCTCGCCTGTCTCCAGCAGTTCTCAGGTGTAGCCATCTGCTCTCTCCTCAGGGGCCTGAGGAGCCCCTTGGAGTTCTTCACTGCTGCAGACGGCTGATGGTACGTCAGCGTCCTTGTGCTGGGCATTGGCTGTGGCACCGGCGCTCTGAGGAACTCCCCAGAGTCTGGGTCACAGGCCTAAGACTACATCGTGTCCCTGCCTCTACTCAGACTGGAGGGAACCCAGCTTGGCCATTTGTCCCACAGGTGGCCCGAGGTCTTGCAGACTTTAGGTGGCAATGAGAGCCAGTCCCTGGAGCAAGGCCCTCCTTCCCAGAGCCCCTCCCTGCTGGCCAGATGCCAAAGCCCTGGACACTCCTCACAGTTGGCTCAGGAGCCTCAGGTGTGGGCTTGGTGTGTGCTGACCACAGGCTTCTCTGCACTAGGCCGGCCTCTCCTGCCCCCTGCTGGTCAGACTCTGCAAGCTGTATTCACCACAGCTGTGTCCCCACCTCCCCATGCTGCCTGCACCCTGGGGGCTTCCAGCCCCTCTTGTATTCAACCAGGTGTGGAAAAGGAAGATGCTGCATTGTGAATGATGATGGGTCTGGGGAGGTTGAGGAATCACTCCAGTGATTCAGAGGTGGATGTCAGCTTCACCATGTGTAGTGTGCTGAGCTGGCACTCAGGGCTGCAGCAAGGTGTGGAAGGCCTCACAGCCCCTGTGGTGAAGCAGTCTGGCCCCAGTTAGTGAGTTAGTGGGCTCCATGGTCAGTGCTCAATGCACAGGTGCCAGCGGCTTCCTGTAGTCATGTCACAGCAGGAAATCAGCCACGGGTTCTCCACTACACCTGGATTTGGACAGGACTCCATTCCTTCTTTTTCTTTTTCTCCCAATCCTGGGCTTGAATTCTGGGACGGGCCACCTTCCCTGAGCCTCTCTGTGCTCAAGGCTACACTCTACCACTTGAGCCCCAGCACTACTTCAGGCTTTTTCTGTGTGTGTGGTACTGAGGAATTGAACCCAGGGCTTCATGCATGCTAGGGAAGCACTCTACCACTGAGCCACATTCTGAGCTTGGGTATAATATTCCATGAAAGATGCATGAACATTACATTTTCTTCTTTATACAGGTACTGAGGACTGAATTGAGGGCTTGGTTCTGTCCCTTCGCCTTTTCCCCCTTGGCTGTCAGTCACTCTGCCACTTGACCCAGCTCCAAATCTGAGGTTTGTCTGTCCTCACAAAAGGCTCATGGGAGGTAAGCAACTCATGGATTTTCTTCCTGGGCTGCCTGGAAACTGCCATCCTCAGGACTCACTCTCCTGTGTACCTAGAATTACAGATATTCATCTACTGGTGCCTAAGCTTCACTAGTAATTTTGCTTTATTTTTATTGTCGTTGTTGTTCATGGGGCATGCACTCTGGACCTGGGTAATAGTCCTGAGCAATTCCGCTCAAGCAAGAGCTGTACCACTTGAGGCACAGTGCCCCTTCTGGTTTTCTGGTGGTTCAATGGAGATAAGAGTCTTTAGCTGGGCGCCGGTGGCTCACGCCTATAATCCTAGCTTACTCAGGAGGCTGAGATCTGAGGATCAGGGTTCAAAGCCAGCCTGGGCAGGAAACTCCTTGAGACTCTTATCTCCAATAAACCACTAGAAAACTGGAAGTGGCGCTGTGGCTCAAGGGGTAGAGCACTTGCCTTGAGCTGAAAAGTGCAGGGACAGTGCCCAGGCCCAGAGTTCAAGCCCCACAACCGACCAAAAAAACAAGAGTCTTATGGACTTTCCTTCCAAGAGTAGCTTTGAACTGTGATCTTCAGATCTTAGCATTCTGAATAGCAAGCATTACAAGCCTGAGCTATTGGCACCCAGCTTAATTTTATTTTTCTTTTTTCAGGCCTAAAGCATGTACTCAGGGCCTGGGCGCTGTCCCTCAGCTCTTCAGCTCAAGGCGAGTGCTCTACCACTTGAGCGACAGAACCAATGGCCCATTTCAACTTTGGGCAAAGAAATAAAGAAAATTGAAGACAAAAGTCTCACAGATGGGCTGGGAAGGTGGCTCAATGATAGAGTGCTTGCTTTGCATGCATGAGATTCTAGATCGATTCAACACAACATAAGTAGAAAAGGCGGGAAGTGGCCTTGTGGCTCATGGGGGAGAAGTGCTAGCCTTGAGCTGAAGAGCTGAGGGACAGAGCCCAGGCCCAGAGTTCAAGCCCCACAACAGGGGAAAAAAACCTCTCACAGACCTTCTTGTCTCAGCTGGTTTTGAATGGGGATGCTCAGATCACAGCCTCCTGAGTAGCTAGGATTACAGGCATGAACCAAAGGCACTCTCCTTACAATAACTTATTTATTATCATAAAATTAAATGAACAGAGGAAGTCTCTCCATCAGGATGGGTTAATGTCCATATAACAATTCAGGAACCAGGAATTCCCTCTTGTTCTATACAAGTTGAATGCATTCCACTCAGATTCCTTGGATGAGGACACAGGACACTGGGCCCATGGTGGCCAGAGCACCCCACATCACCTTCCTGACAATGAAACTGGAGGAGAGCAAAAGAACCTTCCTATATTTTCCCCAATAGGATGTACTGGGTGTCCTAAAGGGACATTCAGGTTCACTTCCAAACAACAGCATGAACTACTCAGGTGCACAAACCCCGCAGTAGTTAGACTGACATGTAAAGGAATATTCCTCTGTAACTACCCAGTTACCAGTGGGTGCCAGGCTATAGAACTGGTTCTTCTTACAGCCTATGCATGAGTAAGTGCAGACCTGGACCTTATGGGCTGGCTGTAGGTTCCTCAGGATCTGCACCAAGCTCACACAAACCTGGGCAAATCTCACCTTGCTGACTTCACATCCATACAACAAACATTCGTGGTCATAGCTCTCCACAGGGGCCGGATACAGCCCTCGCTGTAACTGCCTCAGCCTGGCTGTGTGGCTCAGCAGGTTCTGCAGGGCAGCCAAGGACATGCGGTTCCCATAGATGCTGAAGAAGCTCAGCTGGCAGCACTGGCTCAGGGTGGGCAGGATGGCAGAGAGCTGGGCC